GGTCTCTCCAGCCGCTCAGGAGCCCACGGCAGTCTGAGATGCAAGGGAGGGGAAATTTCACTGCTCCACCCACCCTTGTCGCTGGTCTCCAAGCCTCTTGGGGCCTCTCTCCTTCCAGTTCTCTGCAACATCTTCCCTGCCGTCTCCTGTAGTTTCAGGCACCCTTCCTTCCGACCCTCACCCGATCTGTGTTTGTCTGCCTGTTTATTTTTTTTTTCCACTTTCTTCTAAAATCTGTCTTTCTCACAGAGAGGCCCTCGCTGGTGGTTTTTCTTGTCCGCCATCTTGCCCCTCCTACCTATGTACATATTTTCTTTGCATGTGCAGAAATGATCCATTTAAAAACACTGTTGGTGGAAATAACTTTTTTGTTCAAAAGGAAAACAGCAGTATATATTATTTTCCCCGTTCTTTTAGACTGTCCTGGAAATAGGTATTTGCACGATTATGTGATAACACCATCCACTAGGAGTCTCCAGTTCATGACATCCTCACTGCAAGGAGCTCGTACCTACAATTCCACGTACGTGGCTGAGTTGGTGGCTTTGAGGAAAGCCACTTGGTGCAAATCTTACTAAAATGCCAATACATTAGCCGCCTTAAAAAAAAGTATGATGTATACGCCACTCTTTGGGTCATTAAATGAATTTTTAAATTAGGCAACGACATTTTAAATTTTTAATGGCTTTTCCCTTCTAAGGCAAGGAACAGCATGTCACATAAATGTGGGTTATTTTGTCCGTAAGGAATTAAACAGAGCACTATCTTTGAAGAATTAATGGGCCTAGCCAGTCCCAGGACTGATGTCACGCAAAAGGCTTTAATCTACTACCACGAGTCTTACCAGAGAACACCTCAAACATAAACATCCTTGAGCTTTCAGATTTCTTCATTATGCTACTTCATCATAAGTAGCATTTAATCAATAAAGAATGAATATTATTTTTCTCAGACTGTTGTTACTTTACAAGTGTGAAGAAAAAATTTATACGTTTTTTCAAGTATGTTTTTAAAGATGAAATTTAGGGGTCACAAATGATTTTGTTATCATGAAAACAAAATTATTAAGGAAGTGAAGTGGAAATTTAATTTTATCTATAAATCCTGCTTTATGTGTAGTGCCACAGAAGTCTCTCTCTGTCATAAATAAAGTTACAATCATCTGTCCTTGTGACTTGCAGTTTGCTCTGCTGTGGCTAATGCTGTCTGATTAAAAATACACGTTATGGCAGGGTAGGAATAGCTTTGGTTACAAAGTGACAGGGAACAAAGCAAAGGCATAAATCTGCTACATCCTGTGCTATTTTATGACCCTAATAAGTCATCTTTAACTTTAACCTAAAGTTACTTGGTGAATAAATCTTGCTAGTTTTTCTAACCTGTGCTTTCTGATATGTGGACCTTTTCGTTTACACAATAAAGAAATCCTGACTGATAATCTACGCACTTTGAAAATGTATTATGTAATTCTAGTAAAACAACAGATTTGCCTGTGATCACGTTTTATTTTTGCTTTCAAATCGTCAAGTATTCATTGTGTTGTGAATTTATAACAGCAAAACCGTAACTCCTGCAAATTTAGATTTATTATAGACAGCTGTCATCCTTAATTATCTTATTTTGAAGATGACTTTGTAATGTACCCCTCAAAATTACGACTATAAAATATGGTAAAATAACATACTTCATAAAAATATAAACTGATAGATACCATACATCTTATGATTTAATATTTTATATTAATAAAAGGCCTATTAGTAAAATATGATTGTCTCACAATATGTGTGCATACTCCTCTCTTTCTCATCCCTCACGATGGGATGGGCACCTTTGGTAAGAATCTCTTGGCCACCAAATACTCTACATTCTACTTGGTAGAATATTGTTTACTTCTGTTCCTTTTTCTCAGTTCCCAATACATCAGTTCAGTCTTTTATTGTCTTGACTCAGTAGCCATTTGGACAATTTGTTGAACAAATAAATTTAATTCTTTGTATGTCATGTATAGATATTTTAATTGACATATATGTATAAATATTCTACATTAATAGAAGATTATTACCTGTAGGTAAGGTACATTTTAGATAAATGATGTCTTAAAATAGATCACTGAAAGTTGAAATTTATCTATGTGCTATTTTGTCCTGCATTTTTTTTTTCTATCCATGGGGAACTTCAAATATTTGCTGATGCTTATTATTGATCACAGAGTAGATTGGCAAATTGTGATTTTAATGAGCAGAAATATTGTGTCTTTCTTTACATCAGGCAATGTTCGGGCTAGTGTTCCAGCTCTATCTAAAATCTGTGGCAGAAGGGAATAATAAAAATGTGTAGGCGAAAATGTATTGATTTTGTTTTTTATTTTCTGTATTTTCTGATGCTTTGACATCTGGGACCTCGCTGGCCCTGGAGGGCCTGCCCTCCCTAGTGTTATCTGATTCCTAGAGAGAGGGGACCTCTTGCCCTGGAATGAGCCTTTGACATGCAAACAAGCTCATCAGAGCCCCACCTGGGGACTCTCCTGCTCTGGTCTCTATCCTCCTCCCCTAATCACCGCAGGGCCTGGAAACAGACAATTAAGGACCCAGCCTTTAAGTCCCAGAGCCCACTGAAGTGATTTAAACCAGCCAATCCTAACCCACTTATGCTGCCTTGCCTTGCTTTTCCCATGAAGACCACAATAAAGGCTCTTGCCCACATTGTCCGCTATCTCCTTGTGCCTCCTGTGTGACCCTAGAACTTCCCCTGTGGCCGGTGCACGGAGCGCCATGCCCTCTCCTCTTGGGAACTATGAGTGCAAACTCTCTTTTCCATAGCAGTCGTCTCCTGGTCTGCTGGCCTCACCACACCCAAATCATCATAAAACCTACATTTTAAAGTAGAAGAGAATCACACTTTTTTAAAAGCTTACATTTATCGATGCTTTACCGCAGAATGTCACTAAGTCCTCCTAGCTTCATGGGGTAAATACTGCTATTACCGCCAATTTGCAAATACAGGGATGGAGGCTATGAGAGGCCAGGAAACCTACCCAAAGTGTCATAGCCAGGAGATGCTGGAGCAGAGCTTAGAACAGGGCTTTCCAAACTCGAGTCTGTACTCTTAGCCACCAAACTCAAAGATGCTTCCTATCATTTTAAAGGCTGGTTTAATTTTAAAGGAATGGGAGAGAAGGCCTTCTGCCATAGAGAAGCAAATAATACATCCTCCTGATACCTACTTTGACGACACGGCTTTATTATAAAAAGTCAGGATTGGCCTCCATGGGAAATTGTTCTTTACAGCAACACCAAAAAGAGTGGCTCAGCACTAATTATATGAAACCAAAATCACTGTCTTTCACAGGCATTTCCTGACACCCAAAGGTCTGTATTACATAATTGCAAAAAACAAGTCAACCAGTTTAGTTAATTTTGCATTTAATAATTCCTGCCAGGGACACAGGAAAACCACGCTCTTTAGGATGAGATTATCCACGGGAGACTTTACTGCCTTTTTTTAAGACACTGGTGGGGATATTGTTACACCTGCTTTGAACGTTTTCCAGGCCTAAGTGTTTGTTGTAGAGCTCCAGGGACCCGGTGGAGTCTGTTCGTGCACTGGAAAAGATCCAGACCTGATTTCCGAAGTAAACTCTGACTTTGTCAGCAGGGCTCGGGCGGCCCATCTCCAGGCAGAGTTGATGTGACCTCCCGCTTTCGGTGGGCATGGTCGTCACAGCAACAAACATTTATTGAGCACGTCCTCTGGCAGGCACCACGCTAGGTGAGGGCTGAGCTCCCTCGGTGCCAACCCTGCCATCTGCTCTCCTGACTACATGGCAGAAGGATCCTTTGTCAGCCAGGGGCCCGGCCTCCTGGTCCTCATCAGAGAGTGCAGCCTCCAGCGGTTGCTCTTCCGTTCCCGTCAGGTGTCTCTCGGAGAGCAGCGATGGAGGAAATCATGTACGTAGGATCCGTCTCTTTCATTCCTCCAGGTATCTGGCGTTTTACCGTCAAATCACATCCGCTTGATCTCTCGCCCCTCACAAAGGTGCATTTGGATGTATGCCCTGGCTTGTTTTTCTTTTTTAAAATCATCATTACAGGGAACACCCGTTTGGAATTTAATGCTGTATTTACTACAAAAATTCTGAAGAAATTAATATAGCGAATACTTATTGATTGTCTGTGGTGCACCACACAAAATGCCGTGAGCTTGGAGAAGTCACGGGCCCGGTAATCCCCAGTGGCCTTGCTCTGCAGCGGACCAAAATGTGGTCTAAGATCACAGAGGAGAGAATAACTGATTTTGTTTGGGAAAATCAAGGTGCATACGTTGCCCTCTTCCTCCACTTTCTCGGTAACGTTTAAGACGTTAAAAACATCAACTCTGGCATGAATCCCTTGCCTATGTTCAAATTCCATCTCTGCTTCCTCTCTGGGTGGCCTTGGAATTATTATTTAATCTCACTGAGGCTCAATTTCTGCTAATAACAGAGTCTACTACATCAAATGAGATGGTATTTGGTGCCTAACACATGCGTGTCCTTAGTTAGTGTTGGTCGTTGCTGTTGGCTGCTGTTATGATATCTTTCCATGTATGACTCTAAGGAGGGCTGTGTCCAAGACTGCTTTGAAGTAGGGAAGAGACAATCCAGGCTGGGAATTTGCTCTAAGGCTCCCTTCCCAGATGGTAGACTGGCTCCAGGTTCCCTGAACAATCCGGAAGGCCGTGCCGGCCGCTGCCATATCTGGACATAAACCTGCAGCTGTGGCTTCCCGGAGCTCCCCTCCTGAGAGCAGCCTTCCCCGTGACTGCAGTCAGCCTTAGTAGATAGAGTACGTGGCAGCAAGGAGAAATTTCTTCTCCTCTTTGGCCTCCTGGTTGTGAGTTTACTCAGCTTGGAAGGGAAGGATCACGTGCAGGATTTTGTGGGTTAAGCTTTCCTGGCTAGAACTTTGTTTTCTCAAATACTAACAGAATGGATTTTTCCCCCCACCCTCTCTTGTTAATAGGGTGCTGAGAAAATTTTGTCAATGAATGAATCAGGAGAACTGCAAGACCTCTTAACCAAAATTGAGGTAATTGTGCTTTTAGCAACTTATTTACAGTAATCAAAATGTCAAACACATTCCGATTGTATAATAATTGGGTTTTCCTAATTGAATCTCCCCATTCAACGTTCTTACACATTGTGTAACAGGATACACGTGGCAGTTTTAATTTGATGTCATTTGCTGTTAGGTTTGCTCCAGTTAGAATGACTTTAATGTTAACTTATCACAATCTCTTACTAATAGGTGAATGTCATGATCAGCTTTATTTGGGCCTAATTGTCTGTAATTCAGCCATTGATGAGGTGTTCCAAGTTAGGCAATTGCCTTGAAGCACATTTAAAATTTTTCATTTAAACTTTATTTTTCCCATGTATCTTCTTACATATGGGAAGATCTTCCTACATCATTTCTAAAGATTAAAGAAAAAGTCATTTCTCCAAAAAAGCACATTTTAATTTTGTTCCCTATATTTACAACTACAGCATCGGAGAAATACTTATTCAAATGCATAATATATTAAATTGATATGCAACCAGGAAGCCCTTGCTAAATTATTAGATCAGCCTCTTTCTCCCTATAAATAGGAAGATCATATACTTCATTGTCTAGATGGGAACACTTTGAGAGTGAAAAGTGTGCCTTAGTGATTATTCTGTGTCAGCAAACGTGAAACAGGACTTTCCCAGGTGAACTAGGCCATGTGGTCATCCGATATCTATACGCCAATATCAGCTCTTCTTGCTCTAGTTCTCTTTGCCAGCCTTATTTCGGATTCTCTCTCATTCCTTCCACTTCAGTAAAAAGAACTATGTGGTTTCTCATGCAAGCCGTTCTGTCTGCCTGGAATGCTGTTATTCTGATTCCTTATTTCCTACACCATCTTCAAGGCTCATCTGCAAAATCACTTCTTCCAACAATCGTTTCTGATCTCCCACACTCTTCAATTCCTATAACCCTCTTTTTGTTGGGTGTTTATCAAAGTCTTCCTTGTATTACCTTTCTTTGGGTATTTGACTATGCCCCAAATGAATTATGTGATCATTTATAGAAATCCTGTCTTCTTTGTATTGTGATCTTGCCCAGAGTGAAAACACAATGTATTCATTCATTCGGCAAATATTTATTTAGTATCTACTATTTACAGACACTTTGCTAAGGGAGACAATGATGCCCTCTCAACATACTGTATGCATAGACCAAGAGCTCAGAAAAATTTTGCATCAGCTTATGTCATAATGAAAACAATAACATTACACTTGACACTGTGGTCCAGTAAGGACGATAGCCACAGAGAAAGTGCTTATGGAGAAGGAGATGCCTGGGCTTTAGGATGAGAACCTGCCATGACTTGTTTTCTAAATTCAAAAGTCATAGGATGTGTTCAGAGACTCAGCTCATTTGTATAAGAGTGGTTTAAATTTCCACGGTTTATAATTTTTGAACTATTATGACTTGGAAATCGGAGGATTTTAGCTCCATGCTTAGCTCTGTTGATGGCTGTGTAACTTTGGGCAAATTCTCCCATCTCTCAGGTCTTGATTTCTTCAGCTATTAAATGAGGAGATGTATTTGATGTCCTCAAACTCCTCTCAGCTAAAAAATATACATCAGTGAATTTCTTTCTTACTTTGTGTTTCCATATACTCTTCCAATCCCGTGAAGCCACTAATTTAGGTTAATGTGCGTCTCCTTATTTAAACAATTTAACTAGGTTAATGTTTATTATTATTTTCTGTGCACCTTTTAAATCTATGTAAACAGCATTATGCAATATGGTTAATCTATTTATTTCTTTTACCAATATTATACTTTTTTATTTCGATAGTTTAATAGCCTCTTTTAGGATCTTATAGGGTGAATATCCCTCATTACTCTTT